TCATAATATTGAACATTATAGTGAATGTTCATTAAAATATATAAAATCTTTATTAGGTAAAAATGGCATCTCACCAAAAGTGATTTAATTTTATATCTTTAAGTGAGGTGAAACATTTCTCATGTTTAGAAACTATCTTTATCTTTGCCATATTGTGAATTATATGCTTATGCTAGTCACTTTATCATATCCATTTGCATGCATTCCTGTTACATTCACAACGTTCAGTTCAGTTCAGTTCAGTCGCTCAGTCATGTTGGACTTTGCAACCCTACGAAGCGCAGCATGCCAGGCCTCCCTGTCCATCACCAACTCCTGGAGTTTACCCAAACTCATGTCCATTGAGTCGGTGATATCATCCAGCCAAATTTCTGTAATTCTTATATTCTTCCCTAGCTTGTCCTCTTTAGTTAAAAGTATTTCTCATACTTTACATATAAAACATTTAAATTTTTATATCCTGAGACACCAAATTTTTCATCTGTATTCTTTCATTTTTTTATAAGTTAAATTGTGATAGATTGGAAATAATCTAAATGCTTATTAACTGGTGAATGAATTAACAAATCCTGGTGTACTGTAAATGGTGAGACTCTTCTATCATCTTTCAACATTTTTATGGATTTAATTTAAATTTTAACTCTATTTCATTGATATAAGGTAAATGTATAGTTTAATTCTTTCCAAATCACTAACAAATTGTTTATTCCATATAATGTATGATCCCTTCAACCTCCACTGATTTTATATTTCACTTTTTCATACATTCAAAAATTGTGAAGTGTTATTTTTTTCTGTATGAGTTCCCTTTCCCAGATTCTTTTAGACTATCATATTTTTAAATGATATGCATAAGCTTGAGATGTGTTTTAAAAATCAGCAGGACAGATGCAGGTTCTATTAGAAATAACTTAAGCAACTGGAATTGGTAAGAAGGAAAAACCAGTAAGGGGATAAATCCTATCTTTAAGTAGATAAAATCAGACATTGAGGTGTAAGTCCACAGAAAATAGTGGTGGTTTAAGGCAGAAATAAGAATGAGCTCCTGACCATTAAATATATCTGTTACTTGGTGATAAAGTCATGGTTGGAGAAGGTGGGATTTTCAGTTGTCCTAATACAATTCTGGCTAAGATCAAGTATAATATGGGTGCTTCCCGGGTGGCAAAATGGTAAAGAATCCACCTGCCAAGCAGAAGACCTGGGTTCAATCCCTGGGTTGGGAAGATCCCCTGGAGGAGGACACAGCAACCCACTCCAGTATTTTTGCCTGGAGAATCCCATGGACAGAGGAGCCTGGTGGGTCACAGTCCATGGGGTTGCAGAGTCAGACACAACTCAGCAACTGAGCACACAATACAGCCTCAGTAACAGGCAGGCCTGGTGCCTCTTCTTTCTATGGCAGCCAGAATCTGCTCCGTATTTGTGTCGGCCTTTAGTGGTAGTTCCCTATTCTTCCTCCAGTAGTAAAGACCTCTCCTAGCTATTGGCGTAGGATCACAGGGCCCAAAGCAGTTTTATGCACTTCTTTCAGAGGTAAAGGGTTTTCTCTTCTACCCTTTCCCAGGAGCAGTGGGTCTCTGCCTGTGTCCTAGGGACCAGAGGATCCTCCCCCAAGAAGCAGAGTAGCCTTGCTTCTAATGTCCTTCTAGTAATTTATGAAATAAGTTTTTCTGCCCCTCCCCTACTGGTTGGAGGCTTAAGGGAGCCTGAGTAAATGGGAGGGGCTTTGCACCTGTCTCCCAGCATCCACAGATCACCTCCTTCACCTTTACTCCACCAAAATGACTTTTTTTTTCGAGTCTCTACCTTGTCCCCTGTCTTAACACTGAACATCCTCTGGAGCCCCAGGGAAATATATTTGCAAGCAAGTGTGAACTCCCCTTTTATCTGAGGCCCCCAGTGATTCCAAACTAGTCCATACTTAGTCTTCAAAATTCTGTTAAAATTTTAGTTAATTTTTTCTTATGCATTTCTATGGCAGCCATCTCTTTCTCTCATGCTCTACCAAAGGTGAAACAACTCATGACCCATTCTTTGGGAGAGGAAGGTTGTCTAATTCTTTGCAATTTAGGTTACTTGGTTGTTTCGCAAGCTCAGCTCCCTGATGGGCTCATAGAAATTATGGTTTTGTACATGATCCAGCTTTTGATCATAGGTGAGGGTAGTATGTTCTAAGTACGTTCTTTACAGCTTGAGTAGAAGTTTCCTTCCACCTCAATTAAATTTCTTCTTTGATTTTTGTAAAGGCATCATTTTTTCAGTCACCCAAATAAAACCTTAGAAGTATATTTGATTCCTCTATAATAATGTTTTATATCCAATCAGTTGATAAAATCTGAATTAGATACTATCATCTCTTTATTAGGATTCTTTCTATTTCTCTAGTACAAGTACTTATTATTTCTTCATGGTCTTATAACAATATTTCTTTGGCCACTGTCTTCTAATTAAATCTGACTTTATCATTAGACTCCCTTACTACAGAATTGCTTTGTTTATAACCAAGGCCATGATTAATCTGATCCTGTTCTGCCTTTACAGGCCATCTTTCTATAGGAACAGATACTCTAACTATTCTGTTTCTATAGTGAGCCAGGTCCTCTTTTTAACATCTGGTCCTATCATGAACCCAGGTCTCCCGCATTGCGGGCAGATACTTTACTTCCATCTGAGCCACTAGAGAGCCCCACAAAGGGAACACATTGCATGAAAAACTTCCCTGTTCACACAGAATTCCTCTCTCCTAAACTGTATGCTGCCTTATTTGAATTAGAAAAATAACACTTATTATCGAAACATGTATATTATCTAGGGTGAAACAGATCACCAGCCCAGGTTGGATGCATGAGACAAGTGCTCGGGCCTGGTGCACTGGGAAGACCCAGAGGGATCGGGTGGAGAGGGAGGTGGGAGGGGGGACCGGGATGGGGAATACATGTAAATCCATGGCTAATTCATGTCAATGTATGACAAAAACCACTGCAATGTTGTAAAGTAATTAGCCTCCAACTAATAAAAATAAATGGAAAAAAAAAAGAAAAAAAAAAGAAAAATAACACTTATTATGGACTGGGTATTCAAGTCATGCACATCTCTCACTTCCCTTACAATATCAAAAACTTCAGAAAGGCAGAGATAAGATTTTATAAATTGCTATAATCTCTTTTAGTTTTCCACAGAAATATTTATCTTGCAAATTAAAATAGCAAAAATAATAACAAGACATTTACTCTTCTTCTTGGAATCCATGCATCCTTAATGCATACCTGACAAGGTCACTAAGAATTTCCACTAGCTCACAAAACGTCTGTTTCTGAAAGCTTGTTTCAAAAAGGATAAAACACAGGTCAGTTCAGTTCAGTTGCTCAGTCATGTCTGACTCTTTGCAACCCCACGGGCTGCAGCATGCCAGGCTTCCCTGTTCATCACCAACTCCTGGAGCTTGCTCAAACTCATGTCTATCAAGTTGGTGATGCCATCCAACCATCTTATCCTCTGTCATCCCGATCTCAAAACAGTATATAAAAATCTATATGCTATTTTACTCTACTAAAAGCCAGAGTAGATGCCATCTTTGCCAATGAGCTTCCCTGACCACAATGGAACCTGAACTTAAATTTGACTCAAACATCAAATCAGATGTGTAAAGCAGCTCTTCCTTATGCATTCTTGAGAAATGCACAAAATGAAAAATACTTCTCCTGCTAAAACAAATAGTATACCCAACAGTTATCCTTATTAATTTCACGTAAAAGTTATCCACATCAATTTCACAATTCAACTTCTAATAATTTAGTATGAGAATATAATCATATAAGGAAGTTCAGCACAGACTCTTTCATCATCGTAAAAAAAAAACAGGAAACAATTTAAATATTAACCAACAGGGAATCATTTATATAAAACAAAGTGCATATATACTATTCAACAATGAAAAATGTTTATGCAGATCTATATTCAATGATATGGAAACATGTCCACAGCATGCTGTTGCAAGAAAACAGGTTATAAAACCATATACACATCTATGCATGCCTATACCCAGTACTCCTAGATGGCAGGGATTAAAGCATGTGCCTGTAATCAATTTACTATTTAAGCTCCACATTCACACTTTATTGCCTGCTCTGCAAAAATGAAGCTGAGCCCTTTACATATTTCTCCTTTTGCGACCTGACACGTGTTAAAACCTTATCAGTACAGAGTGCTGGTGAGTAGCTTCCTTCATTATCCCAACTCTGCTGGTGCAGTCTTTTTTTTAGCAAGCTTCTGTGGGATGGCAGCATGGCGACTTCTCCATCACCCATTAAACCATAGCCACATCCTCTCCAGTGGCTGCTCCTTATGTCTGCCATTCTTTTATATTCATTAGAATTCTTTTTACTTCTAACTAGCCAATTCCTTGGTACTTCAATTCCCTGTTACAGTTAATAGATTTTTACTAAACAATATTCAATTTTTTAATTTGGTTTTAAGTGAAATTACTTTGTGGTTTCCCTAGAACTGACCCTGACTGATACAAAATGAGTTTTTCCTCTCCTTTTTACTTCTCAATGTTGTCTGAATTTTTAATAAGTATTTTTTGGGTGTGTGAAAATCAGAAAAGGCAAGTTAATTTTTACTTTGGAAAAATTAAGGAAAAATTCACTGCAAAATAAACATTAAAGTTTTTCTACTTTAATATATTAGAAATGTATTTGTAAGATTAAATAAGATTAAATCTGAAGAGTATCCATTTATTTGTGTAAGACTATAAATGTTCAGTTTTTCTTTTCTTAATACCAATTTCTTTTCAACATTATCCAAAATTTTCTCAGTCGCTTAAAACAACAGAGATAATTTAGATGGCTATTTTTTCTCTCTTAGTTATGCCCTATATTAGCCTTTATAAACAGCTTATTAATCACTAGGTATCCTGGAGTGATAGGTCCTGTGATAGGTATGAGCTCCTCACACACAGTCAATCTCTCTCATCTTACTATTTCAGTCCCTCTTACCATGTTCAAGGATTATCAGCTGGGCTCCAGCTTGTGCATTTCCAACATCATTTTCAGCAATGCATTGATAGAACCCTTCATCTGATTTCACCAGACCCAAAACTTGAAGATTATGTTCCTTCTGAGGAAGAAAAAAACAAAATTTTATGATTCAACTGATGAACATTAGTTCAGATCTCAAGGATATGTTCTTTCTGGAGAGAAAAACACAAGTACAATTATATGATTCATATACTGAATATTATTTACCTATGAACATGTTGACTCAGTTTTAATGACAAGGTACTGACTTAACTGACTAGAAAAGGAAACATTATCATCAACAATTAAGAATTCAATCCTTATAGAAAGGCATGTCTGCAATGTATGCAAACTTATACCTTTGCCTGGTGGAATATCTGGCATGCAATACTATGTCACCATAGTGAAAGTCTGAATTTGTGAATTCAAGGTACTTTCTTAAAATTATTTCTAATATCTATCGTTATAACAGATTAGAAGCCCCCTATATAAAAGTTTTTGTTAAACTATCAAGTACCATATGAATGTCAAATATCATTATTGCTATTGATATAATACAACATAAGTTTAAGATTTTTTTATAATAGGATGAAAATAATGATAAAGAGTAAAATGCTAAGTTAACTGTAACATACTGCTTTTTAATTAGGATTAAATACTTGTGAATTACTTTTTTGTAACATATACCATTATGCATTTTAAAAATAGAAACTGTATTCCTATGAAGAATGAATTACTTATGTGAGAAATTTGTAATTAGACATTGTCTTTAACAACTATAATTACTTCTGATTATGTCTATGAATGTCATACATGCATCTTAAGATATGTCATTTTTTAAAAACCTAGATAATTCTATTATAAGGATATTAGATAATAGTAATAGTAACAGTGGATAATATTTACTAAAGTGAAAGTTAAAATCGCTCAGTTGTGTCCGACTTTTTGTGATCCCAGAACTATACAGTCCACGGAATTCCCCAGGCCAGAATACTGGAGTGGGTAGCCGGTCCCTTCTCCAAGGGATCTTCCCAACCCAGGGATTGAACCCAGGTCTCCCGCATTGCAGGTGGATTCTTTACCAGCATTTACTATATATCTATTAAGTAAAAAGCAGACATGGCTGTCTTCTTAATAGAGTAAGGCTAATTGATTACTTTTGCTTTACTTTTTAAAAGAATCTCCATGTCTATTTTCACAACTGTCCAACATTGGGTATGCTTATTTTGAAGGGCCTGAGCATCAGCATAACAAGGACAGATTTCTGCTCCTTGACTACAGAGCTATGAAGACAACTGGTACTTGTGAATACACACACAGGATAATCACTACCCAGAAAGTGGTGCAGGCTATGTTTTAAAATGCTAGTATGTCTGAGTAGGAGGACTAGACTATTGATCAGGGGATGTGAACTTCAGGCTGAGTTCAAACACTGGTTTCCTCTGTGATCGTATCTGAGCTACCAAAACATTTCTGGGCGAGCTTTATCCCATCAGCCAATGAAATAACAGTATTCTAAGTGAATTTTTCTATCTTCATCGTAATACACCAGTTCATGTACTATGGATAACAGATCTCTTGGTGACTACATTTAAAGAGAGTTAAAGGTTTCAGAGCTAAGTTTCTTTGAAAGATACTTACTACAATCTTAAAGTAATCACTTGGGATGACCATATCCCCATTCTTGACCCATTTCACGGTAGGAGTTGGCTTTCCAGTGACTTCACATTCAAACACAATATCCATAGATTCATGAGCATATATATTGGTAGGCTGCTTCAGGAATTCAGGTTGGGCTTTAAAATAGAAAGGAAATTAAGATATGAATAAAAGTAAAAATAGCTATTTATATTTCAAGCAATTAAAAAGTCACAGAATTCATAAAGTTTTTAATTATTTGAGACTCACTTTTTTTAGGAAAACGTAACATATTTTTAAAGATATGTTAGGAACATATCTTTAAAAACTGATATTCTGGTCTACTTAACTGGCAGAATAATTATAATGATAATTCTGAGCTTCTCTGTTGAGAAATATTTACTAAGTTGACAGTACTGAAAAATTGGAAAGTTCTAAGCTGTCTTTAAAAATGAATATGAAAGTCTATTTCCCTAAGATTTAAACCATTTTGGAAGAGCCATGATTATGATTCAAAAAGAGTTGATAAGACTGACATTATCTTCCTTTTCAGTCAGACTGATGAGTAACCCACCCTCCAAAGAAATACAAATGGCACATTCAGTTCAGTCACTCAGTCATGTCCAGCTCTTTGCGACCCCATGGACTGCAGTACACCAGGCCTCCCTGTCCATCAACAATTCCCAGAGCTTACTCAAACTCATTTCCATTGAGTCGGTAATGCCATCCAACCATCTCATCCTCTATCATCCCCTTCTCCTCCTGCCCTCAATCTTTCCCAGCATCAGGGTCTTTTCCAAGGAGTCAGTTTTTCACACCAGGTGGCCGAAGTATTGGAGTTTCAGCTTCAACATCAGTCCTTCCAATGAATATTCAGGAATGATTTCCTTTACGATTGACTGGTTTGATCTCCTTGCAGTCCAAAGAACTCTCAAGAGTCTTCTCCAATACCACAGTTCAAAAGCATCAATTCTTTGGCATTCAGCTTTCATTATAGTCCAACTCTCACATCCATATGTGACTGCTGGAAAAACCACAGCTTTGACTAGACAGACCTTTGTTGGCAAAGTAATGTCTCTGAGTTTAACATGCTGTCTAGGTTGGTCATAGCTTTTCTTCTAGGAGTAAGCGTCTTTTAATTTCATGGCTGCAGTCACCATCTGCAGTGATTTTGGAGCCCCAAAAATAAAGTCTGTCACTGTTTCCATTGTTTCCCCATCTACTGGCCATGAAGTGATGGGACTGGATGTCATGATCTTGGTTTTTTGAATGTTGAGTTTTAAGCCAACTTCTCACATCAGATGACCAATTGTTTGCATCAGATGACCAAAATTCAGCTTCAGCATCAGTTCTTTCAGTGAATATTTAGGGTTGACCTCTAAACATTGGTTAGTCACCTGTATTTATCCTTCTGTGAATTATCTATACACATACTCTGCTATTTTTTCAGTCACAGTATTCACAGTTTTCTTATCTATTCATAAGAGCTTTTCACATAATGTCAGTTATCAATTCATGGTCTCTCAGTTCCAAATCCACTCTTCTTTGTAAGAGACCACTTCACAGGCAGTGCCCTGTCCTTCCATCAGGAGGATTCATGTGTGACTGTGTCTCTCGTGATGTTAAAAGTCTTTGATAATCACAAAAGGAGTTGCAAAATAGTACTACTCATTCTATCATTCCTTCTACAATGAGACTGGGCTGAATTTGCACCAACTTAACACCTTTACAATGCTGAATCTTCCTTTCTTATGATTCTCCTCATCAATTATTTGGTTACCCTTAAGTATAACTCTTATAGAAAGAACAGGATAATGCTTGATTCTTTTTCTGTGCTTACCAGTTTTCAAAACAATGATCTGGTTCTCTAATATCACATCCCAGATGTGATCAATGAAGGCTTTTTTGAGTTCATGGATTAAAATATATTTGGTTTGTTTCAATCCACTAAAGTTAACCCTCTTTTCATTTTCATACTACCCCATCTTTGACTAAAAGAAGCCTAGATCCACTGGAATTTCCTGAGTCCTTTTTGACATGACCTGAGTGGTCTTTAGTATCTTCTGGTCACTGATTTTGGGCCCGATTTGAGGATAAAGTCAGGAAATCTGTACTTTTTAAATATAAAATTATGATTTCATTTTAGTATCTCCAATTAAGTTTGGGACTATAGGTTTTAACTGGAACCTATTCATTTTTCATCTCTATTTCCTTTCTTTCATGCAAAAAATTTCTGTTCTCAGTGATGCCAACTTAATTCCTTATATGCTTTATCTTACACCCAGTAGACTCAGTAGACCAACATTTCCACCAAGAGAAAAAAGTTGAGGATTTTTGGAATTTTGTCCTTGTGATTATTCTACTAGGTGTTTACTGTCCAATTACTATGTTACACTTATTTGAAATAGTTCCTTTCATTTGGAATTTTAACTTTCTGTGTGGCTATACTATCAAGTAGTTACACATTTAGAGTCATTTTCATTTTGCTTCTCCTTTCTGGCAATTTTAAATATAAAAAAAAAAGGTATAGTCCAACAGGTCTTGCTTCTACTCTGTTTTCTCTACCCTTTCCCTCTCTTTACCTATAGGTAACCATTAACATCTTTAAAATTGATTTACCCTTCCACTTAAAAAATTATAAGCAAATAGTCACATTCAATTTGTACCCATCCTTCTTCTTTGGATTAAATAATTACACACGAAATGATTTTTTCTACCTTCGAAGCCTTCAATCTTAACCCCTGTGGTACCTTGTTTCTGAGGAACTGACATATTCCTTAAGTCTAAAGGACTGAGACTCCCCTTAAGGCAGAGTACATAATTCTGTAAAACAGCAATATTCTCTTCAAAAGAAAATCCAATTAATATAATTTTAGCATGAATTTTTAGTAAGCAGACTTTCAAAGACTATTAGAAAAAGTAATCACAAACAATGTTTCATTCATCATTTACTTTCCCCTCTCATGAATCATAAAATAATACCTTTAAAATGTTCTCTGGATCTTAACTTCTTCGTAGATAGAATTCACCCCAATTAAACACAATGTAAGAGCAGATGTTTGTGGTTGGGAAGTTACATTGATAACCAGAGAGCAAATGAGTCAATTACCATAAGAAAATAAGCACCGTAATGGAAGATTATGCATTTCGTTACCAAAGAGATAATTAACCTTCCAATTCTCTTTGACAGTTCCCAATCCCTTCTAATGCCATCATCATTACAAGAATAATTTTAATTGCTAAATGCACAAGTAGAACCTAATACTAAAACATATTATACTTGCAAAATTCCCTTACTGGAAACATCAGTGAATCACATCAATGTTATATAATGCTGGAAACTGACACTCAATTCAAACAGAAAACAATACAGGGCCAGCACCAATGTTTCAAGGTTACTTGATTATGCTGCTATTTAGGATATAACAGTTTTTGTTTACATTAGCTCTGAAATGTTGGAGCTTCTATTGTTTGATTTTAAAAGTTTAAGCATTGAAATTCTTAAAAAAGCACTTTAGAGAAACAAAGCAATTTTGCCCATTTCATGTTAAACTGCACACTTGCTGTTTTTAAGTTTCTTTTCAATAATTCACAAAATTACATGTAAGCCCTTAAAGAAAACCCAACAAATAAAGCCCAAGCATTTTTAACAGCCTGAAATCCCTTCATGGATGTTGTCTGACAGTCTAATCATAAATATGCTATCAGTACTGGCTCATCTAATGAAACAAAAATACATTAGAACCCTTAATACTTCTTGAGAAAGCTTCTTGTTCCAAGGAAGGTAAACGTTTCCCTTAGTCTCCAGGTGAAACAGGTGAAACCAGTTATGAAGCAACATTAAGACAAAGTTGCCACACGAACTTGAAATTACATTTCTATCCTCTCCCTGCATCTCCACGTCCAGGTGCATTGCATTTTCTTAACCCTACCTCTCAACTTAGCTAACAGGTACTCATCCTTCAGATCTTTAAAAACAATCCCTTAAAAGAAGCTTTTCCTGATCCACAGCATCCCATCCCCCGCCCTTTCTTCCCCATTCCTAGGCCATCACTGCCCTATTTACTACTGAAACCTCAGTGGCCTGAACCATAACAGGTGTTCAATGCTGTTGCTCAATAGTTGTTGACATCAATGGTTACCTGAATTCTAAAAAATCCATTAGTCAGCACTATCAGGAAATTACATGTTGGGAACAAGAATTTTTCAAGCATTCTCAAGTTTCTCAAGGATTTAATGTTTTATACCACTGCTTCTCCAATAGAAATTAATAAATCTAATTCTTTGCTGTGAATTTTCTGCATATGTTTTAAAATGTGCTTTTAAATGTTTATGATAATATAAAATCTTAATAATCATATAACTTCAGTGCTCACATTTATGTTTATAAGCTGGCTTATGTAATTGTAGAATTTAATCCCAGTGCAATGTTTCTCAAATTTGGGGTCTTAGGGTTCTTAAAGCTCTTAAATTGGACAAACATCTATAAACATGATTTTTCGTGTGTGAAGAATTCACAAAAAATCTTAATTAAATATAGGGTCCTCTTCCCTGACAAGACTTAACAGGCATTCTTTGAATGATATCCCTGTATTACTATGAGGAACATTAATTGTGTGCCATGTCTACACAAAGAAGATATGGAGGCCTCAAGGTTGATTAATTTCACTTTGTATTATACATATATTAGACATGCTCCCAAAATAGCTAAACTCAATCTGTAAGCTCTCTCCTTTCAGCACTGTAAGAGTGTACAAATGACTCAGGACAATGTATCTCCAAGAGAGAATCACCGACTACGTGCAGAGAAATACAAAGATTCTTAGAAAAATGTTGGTTGTTGGGTTTCACCACACATGCTTGAGAATTCCAAACAGCCACAGAATTATCATCTTAACAAGTTTTCCTGGATTACTCTACCTTGCTAAGGTGTGAGAACCTTGCATGAGAGGTCACTGAAGGAGAACACTGTACACATCACCACCTTTCTATATACACAGAGAACTCCCCAATTCTTGTGCTCTCCAGGACCACAACATTCGTTTGCTCGATTATTAAACAGGTATTTAAATGAGCAACTACTAAGCTACAAAGACATTTCGCTGCATGCTGTGAGTGAGACAATAAAGATGTGTTTAACAAACTGTTAAGAAAAAGG